GGGATTCAACCCACAGCTTTAGCACTATCAGCAATAACCAGGAAGAGAGGAAAACAGATTTGCACACTGAATTCCGTGGACAGATTTCCCAGGACAATTAAATTCTGAATGCACAATCCAGAATACAATATGCAACATGGTAAACTGTGGGTTTATAATTACAGTGAAACCAAAATTGCTGTAATCTAGACATGTTCAGAGTGATGAAACACATTCAAAATCTGCATTGTTATTATCTTCTAACCCAATTTACTACAAGAGTTGATTTTCCAGTCCATTTCTCTGAGTGAGAATCACTGGGATGGAGTACTTAAAATATTCACTCACATTTATTCCAATATTTGTGTACGAATACAAACAGTTCCCATCTCTAAAATTCAAAGATATCTCTCTCACACTCATTTTCCTGTATCCTCCAGCCCAGTACAGCTTCTCAATGCATTCTCCCAAAACATAAGGTGATATATTGGTGTCATTTCCCCGTTCTAGACACCTTGAGATGATGGTTCTTCAGAGAGCAAGTAGTGCTGAAGCTCATAAAATAACAGGAAAAGGGCTTTTACAGAAGGTTAATTTATGCTGCCATCATCTGGGGTAAAGACAAAGGGTTTTTTTGCAGTGTCTGCTCACAGGGTAGCAAAGGGAGGTCCCAGTCCAAGATCAGGAAACAACTTGCTATCACAATGCAATACAAATTACCTTAAAAGTCATATTGAGAGCTAAACTGAGAACAGCTGATTGGTTTATTCAGTTATGGAATAGAAGTAATTTTACTGCTTTTGTTCATTTGTTAACTGAGGGGAGAGAACTGCAAATTTTACTTGACTGAAACCTGAAGGAATCAAACCATGGCTGAAAAAAACTGTGTAAAATTGCTTTGATTTTTATGCAAGAATTAGCCTAAAGGAAGTACAATTGCCAGATATTTTTAAATATGGTTCATCTGACAGCACAATCCTACAGGCTCTGAGGGCTCAGGTAGATTACCTGTGTAAGGACAAAGGAAATGGAAACACAGGGCCCTTTGCAGAATGGGGCTCTGTTGAAAGCAGTCGGGAAAAAAAAGGATTAGGCAGGATGGAGCTGTTGCTCAGGACCATAAATTAGTGCTGGAATTCCCATTCCTGCTGCTTCTCCAATGCAAGGACACAATGCTGCACTAGTGCAGCAGCACAGTCACAAAGGGCTTGTGCTCACCTATCCTCTGGATTCCTTTCCAGGATGGCAGCACAAGGCACTTTGTGGGCTGATCATTGAGATCAAAAAAGATATCTCATAATCAAATTAATATAAAAGCAAGAGTCATTACTGAGACCTCCAAACCTGAATTCCTGTTTAACACTTAACATCAATAGTTTTGTTCAGAACTTAAACCTCCATTTGAGCTGTGTTCTGCATGGTTTGTAGGCTTGGATTTGATGGGGAACCACCAGGTATCATGAGAATGGCTTTTTTCCCCAGTCTCTCAGTGTTGGTGGCACATGTCCAGCCTGTGTGGGGTTTGTGTGGGCTTTACTCTGGAAATAAGAAAGGTCCAGGCTTCACTGGTGATGGAGACATGGGATTCAGCACAGAACGCCCTGGATATATATTTACTTACATCCCAAATATTTGAACTGCTGTGCCTCCATTAAAGCTGGATCTGATGTATTTTCTCAGCAATCTACACCATGATCTTAGTGCAGCTCTAACCTTTGCAGTTCTGGGACAAGGTGGAGCCCCAGTGTCCCACTACCCACAAAACACTGAATCCAGCTTTGGAAAATCCAGGTCCTCCTTAGTAAAATTCACAACATATTGTGGCTTTCCTTTGTCCATTGTGACACACCCTGTGTGTGGAAAGAAAACAAAAATATTGTCATGCTGCATTTTTTACCAGGTAAAACATTTTTAGAGATGCCATTGGGATAAATTTTTTAGTTAGCATTCCAAGCCTTTAGGAGAACAGTATGTGAGCTTTAAATCTTTCTTCACCTTAGCATGTGGGCATCCTCATCTATTAATTTCTATTAATGAATTCTTTGTATTTCTCTTCAGCGTTTATCTTTTATTCCTGCAGTGGATTTTTTGTGTTGAGGGCTGTGGAGGTGTCCCAAAAATTTAGATTTAATTTGGTATCTACAGGGTCTGTTTTTCCTAGGGTGGATTTCAGCCCTTACTCCTCTTCCAATGCAGCAGTTCCCATGAGTGTAGAACTTTCTGAATCCAGGTTATTGCATGGAATGTAAAGATTTCCATGGCCCAGAGTCACTGGAAGGCTGTATCTCCCTTTGTAACTCTAATCTCCATGGTTAGAAACAATGCAATTATCTACCCCTAGACATGATCAGTGAATCTACATTATTTTAAGCAGTTTCCAATCTTGAATCTTGCTGCTTAATACATGGGAATGAGCATGTAATGCAATTTAGGGATCAAAGTCAACATTTGCTGCATTGCCAATGTTATTTATTTTTTAAAAAGAGAAAAAAAAAAAGGAAAGAAAAAAAGAAAGGGATAGATTGAGAAAAATGACATGCACAAAAAGGGATAAAAATACCTTCTTGTAGAAAACTGAGTTACTGAAAGAGATCCAAAGACTTTGGTAATTTGGTTTGTGTTGTATTTGAAATAACCATAACACATCCATCAAGATTAACCAAGCCTGGTGAAATGGCAAATCACATTAACTTGTTAGGCCACCAGGTCAGATTTGTCAAACTGAGGGAACAGAGGCAAGAGACCAAAGATAATCTGTTTGTGCATGTAGCCCTAAATTCTTCTAATAGGAACTGCAATGCCATTATATGGATACTGAGTAGCATCCTCTGAATGCTTCATTGCTCTCTGGGTACAGGGAATGAGCCTAAATAAATGTTTTATTAACACTGATGCTAAGAAATGCAGAGAGGAAAGCATTGGCCATGAACAGCAATTGCAGGTTTTAGTGACAGGACAACAGTGAAGTGTGGGACACCCTTCTGAGTGCCAGCTACTGGCATTGCCTTCGGGAAGTGCTACCTGCATTCCTGTCAGAAATCTGCTGTGCCAGCAGCCCAACCCATCATCTGCAGCCTTAAACCTTTCAGCTCTCCCATCATTATTTTAATTGTGGCCTTATTTTCCCAGTATGTGTCTTAAAGTGTGCAGTTTTCAGCTCTTTATGGTTGCTTTTTGTTTAGTTCACCACTCAGAAAACAGGGGTCAAAGAAATGTATACTGTGACTGAAAACTCAGAATGAATCTTCATCAGGGTTCTGGCACTACCTTGGAGTTTCAAAGCAGATGAACATTGTACAGCACAAACTTGTAATTTGATTTTTAGTTCACCGCTGTTCTGTGTTAATAAAAACCTGAACTAGTCCAGAATTGAGAGCCCATGGTTGGAAAAAGCAGTTTTTAGAGACAATTTCTGTTTGCAGAGGTGTAATAATTTGCTTGGCTCCCACTCAGCACTTCACATTTCTGTTCAGTATGTCACTGGGAAACATGTGGTAATACAGCTTTTCCTGGCAAGGCTGGATCCACTCCAGTATCACTTTTCCTGCAGTGATGAAATCTGCCTCAAAAATTCTCAAAATGATGTGTAGGCAGGGGGTGATGAGTGCTCTGATGAAGGGACTAAAATAAGGAACTGGCTGCCTGGCCATGCATTGCTGTTATCCTTGTTTCCTCTGGAAGCCAGTGAAGAAATTGGAATATCTAACTTGCCATGTGCTGCTGTGTATTCCCCACCTTATTTTCAAACAACCAGGCTGGGATAGAGCTGCTGTGGTTTAAGGAAGGAAGGAAGGACTGAGCTTGGTGTTCTTTAATACCATATCAACCCTGAGAGTGGGTGTGCCCATGGCAATATTAACCAGAATTCATTGTAGGTTTTTCCACTGAGAAAGACTTACTTCCCAACTCTTTTGTAGCTCTAGTTTAATGCCCTTATAAATATCTGTACCTAATGCAAAGAAAGGAATCTATAAATGATGAAAAATAACAAAAAAAATACAAAAAATGTGGACGAAAGACCAGATTCTGGTAGATTTCCTCACTGTGGTTAATATCTTATTCATAAAAAAGTTCCATTTTCAAATTCCAACAGGGTTTTTTTCCTGATGTGTCTTGCCAGGACACTTACCAGTTCATGGCCCCAGTTATCCTGGTGATTCATAATCACTCTGGGATCAGGGAATAGAGCCAGGTCTTCTTCTACCTCTGTCATTTCCAAGCTAACGAGCCCCCTGCTTGTACCAGAAATTCTTGTTACTCTTCCCTAAGTGAACAGTTGTGCATTTTGTGCTCTCACATTTCATCCTATTTCCATTAGTCCAGTTCTAAATGTCACCCAAAGTGTCCTGCAGGATATTCCACTCCTTCTTCACACTGAGGATGTCTCCCAATTACATTTCAGAACCAAATGTCATGAGCATCGTCCCAAGCTTTTGTGTCAGCTTTGTAAGTAAAATGTTATATAAAATATAACACTAATCCATAAGAAAATTCCACCAGCAATCCTCCTCCCTGACTAGAGATTTAACCTGATGGACTCTCTCTGGAGTCAGTGGGGGAAATTTTTCTTATTGGTAGTTTTTATTGTGTTGTAGGCAAAGTAAATGACCGGGGTTGTGAGAAGGGAGAGCTAAAATCAATGGTAAATACTTAGATGCTGAAAGTTAACTGTGTGCTCAATTTTTTAGCTGTAAATATCAGAGGGAAAATCTCCCTCTTAAAACTTTTTGCCTTGAGTGGAATCTTGTTGCCTGTGCATCCTGTTGCCAGAGCAACCTGTACTGGCACTGGAACAGTGGCAAAGATCAGCTGCTGCTTTCAGAACAGGCACAACGACATAAATGTGGGCATTAAGTTAGATTTCTTTATACTAACATTATCTAATTCTATTTTCCTTATTTCGAAAAAAAATATGGATTTTCTATATTTTTTTCCACAGTAGAAATTAGTTGGGAACAGTGAACAGGATTCCTCAGAAAGTAACATGAAGTATAAGAGCTTTTGCTAATTGTTTAATAGTGAACACTATTATGTGAAATATGCAGGGAGAGGCAATGTAATGGTATCAATCTGATGTCCACACCCAAAATTGTAACTGATCCAGCTCGTGAGGGAGGCAAGAAGACTTGAAGGAAAACTTGCAGAAATCTTTTCTGATTCAGCCTTTGATCCTCAGCTCTGCTCAGATCACAGGTCCTACATGCCTCAAACTTCCCAGGTTTAACTACTCCTGGAAACATAAAGGAAGCTCAAAGCACACAAATAAGTGATTCCCATCTGAACAGAAGTCAGGCACTACATCTCTGTGTTCTGCAGCTGAACCTCCTCACACACACACTCCAGTGCCGAGTCAACGAGATGTTTGGTTAGAATTTGACTTTTCGTAGTTTGCTCTGCTGCTGTGGAAAAAAAAAAATGTAGAATTAGTAGAATTATACCTGACAATATCTGGCTCTGTTGGGTTTTGTTCAGTACTGTTATAATAACAATAACAAGTACTGAAAATTGTCAGTCTTAAACAATTGCAGCACCGCAGAGAACAAATAAACCCACACATAAACAAATACTGAAGGATTATCTTCACTTAAAATACAGTGCAGATTATAGTAGAACATATACAAGATTTTAATGTTCAATACAATTAAGTCTTCTGCTGTGCTGTAAACCTTACTGAATATGCTGTGGGAAAATATTACAAAAACTAGTCAACTATTCCCAGCAGACTTTGAATGCTTTTTTTGTGTGTAGCTGCATAAATTAGAATGAATTTTCTTTCATTATAGACAGTAAAAAGGAGGATTAATATGGAAATTTTTTCCGGTGAAAATTTCTATCAGGAATATAGAAAACACAGTGTAACATTGAGCAGATAATCTGAAGAACCTCTTGGCTTTTGACATTTTTGGAAGCACTGTGGGCTTTCTTTTCGGGACCTCTGACACAAGTTTTGTACTACTTACAGTATTTCTCAAACATCCTTCTATTTGATCCAGAGCGATCAATGCAGAGATAGCAGCTGATATTTTTATCCTTTTTGATGTAAATTGTGTCAATCTCTGCTCGTGGACGGTTTCATCAGAATGGCTTTTCAGGCCGGAAATTGCTGCGTTTCCTTCCTTCGGGTTAATCCTATTTCACAGCATATGGTGAGGCAAAGGGTCTGGAAAGCAGGAAAGGGCCCTTACATAACCTGGGCAGGATTGATGTCCTTGAAGTTGGGGTTTTGTGTGACTGGCCTCATCCTGCAGGACTGGGGCACACTGGAGCTCTTAAGGAGCACAGACCAGCTCAGCAAATGCCAGAGCACTTTGCCTGAGTGCCCGGGGGTGTGAACCCCCCTCTGAGCCCGGCTGTGAGTGACAGCCACGTGCAAGGGTGTTCATTTTGATCTCACAATCACAGAATCACAGAATACGCTGAGTTGGAAGGGACTCACAAGCATCATCCAGTCCAATCCTTGGCCCTGCACAGGAGCATCCTCAGAGTCACCCCCTGTGCCCCAGAGCATCATCCAAACCCTCCTGGAGCTCTGGCAGCCTTGGTGCTGTGCCCACTGCCCTGGGGAGCCTGGGCAGTGCCCAACTACCCTCTGGGGGAAAAACCTTTTCCTGAGATCCAACCTAAACCTCCCCTGACACAGCTCCAGACCATTCCCTGGGTCCTGTCCCTGGTCCCCCAGAGCAGAGCTCAGTCCCTGCCCCTCCTCTGCCCCTCCCCAGGCAGTTGTACCTGCACTGAGGTCTCCCCTCAGTCTCCTCTTCTCCAGCTGAACACACCAAGTGCCCTCAGCTGCTCACAGGGCTTCAAATCAAGGTCCTTCCCCATCTTCATTACCCTCCTTTGGACACTTTCTAATACCTTAATATCTTCCTTATATTGTGGTGCCCCAAACTGCCCCAATTTTCCAGGTGAGGCCACCCCAGGTCAGAGCAGAGGGGACAATCCCCTCCCTCCCCCAGCAAGGCTGGGCCCGATGCCCCCCCGGACAGGGACGCCTGAGCTTGTCTGATCTCCATCTAATGTCAGACATGTACAAACAAACCCCAGTGCCCATCAATAGTTCCATCCCTTTCTCCTGACTCAAAACCATTTATCTCCTTGGCTCAGTTTTCCACCTGCACATTTTCCCCTTAAATTCTTTCCCTGTTTTACTGGGAAATTTGCAAACACATGGTCTCTTACAGTTCACTTTGTTCAATATTTCATGTTTTTCAGCTGCTCAGGTCTGAGATACATGTTTTTCCCTCCAGCATGGTACCAGGCAGCACTAACCAGAGGCCACTCTTTATGCTGGGAAGCAAAAAATACAGATATTCTCCCAGGTCATCATTTCAGAGTGATCAATTGCAATGAAAACAGAAAATACAAGGAATGCTTTCCCACTCTACATGCTGCAATGCAAGAGAATTTAGGATTTATCCAAGCTAAAGACATTCATAAAATTTAATTCATATCTACCCAACCTAAATAAAATTAATTCTTTCCAGATTATTCATTTCCAATATTCTACAGCTCATTGCTTCCCCATTCATTCCTTAAACAGAGAAAACCAAGCCCAAAGATGTCATTTCACTCCAATCTTCTGATAGCTCTCAGTGTATTGCAGGGATTGCAGCTTTGGCCCACGATTTTAACTGAATTATTCACAATTCAGACCAGGGCCTGAAGTGTAAAGTTCTAAATGTGTTTGCTAAGAACTGAAATTCATCCCAGCCTGGTTTCTGTCTTCTCAGCTTCTCACATCATGCCTTCCATGAATGTTTGGAGAATTCATTTAAGGGTCAGTTGAAAAAACAGGTGCAAACATACCTGTAAGTCTGAATGGTTCTGTAAGAACCTGTCTAATATTATTCACCATTTTAAGCACAGTTGCTGAGGTTAATTAGATTTACGACCCCTAAAAATTTTAAGTGTCCCTGATGACTTTCTTTCCAACTGATAATTTGGTGTGAGAAACAGAAAAAGAATAACAAATAGACTATGAATAAATAAACTCTTGATATTCATTCATACGAGGACAGAGAATATGTTTCTGACATTTAATTAACTATCTAAACGTCCACAAGATCTATAATAAACCACTTTGCAAGACATCCAAATGTCAGAGAAAAACACATTTTACATGAAGTGTTTTTTTTTACCACTGAAGCTGTGAAGATACAACATTCTTTTAAAAAGACACAGAAAAAACAAGCACATATTTTATCTTGAAAGTACTTTTTCAAAGGCTTCTGAACAGCCAGTTGCTTGCAGTATGACGAGTGGAATTATTCTAATTTATCACACAGGAGTTGGAAACATTAGTTTTACAGATATGCCATGTTGTTCTAGCAGAGTTCATGTCCTGAGACTTGGGCAAACCACTGGGAACATTAAATTGATTCTCTTCCCTGAGTTCACCTGCAACTTTTCACTGGGATCTGAAGATTTTTTAACCTGTATTTAAGTGCTGCAGAAAACCTGTTCTAACCTATTCACATGCACGTTACTTCTGCCTTCCTTTTTTTGTCAAAATCTTGACAACACCCTCTGACCCCTCCAAGGATGTAAGAGGTACTTCACCCCCCTGAAGGCACTCCTTGGCTGGGATCTGGTTGATGGAAGTGCAGGGAAATGTAGAAGGTCCTACAGGGGCCTTTCACATCCTGGGACAGAAGGAAAAGCTGCAGCTCTTTTCTTTCCTTCATGGATTCATCCGGATATTTGGAAAGCTGACTTGCCAAGATGACAAGTGTTGCCAGATTTGCTTTGACTTGTCTCTCTGCTTTTTGAAGATAAATAAACTGGAAGAGCAGTTTGTACGAAAGGTGCTGGAACTATGGTCAGAATGAGATCCATTTGTTGCTATTTTTTTATGGCACCACAGCATTGCTTGAAATGCTGGGAGGTTTTCCCCTCCTTGTCCCAGGAAGATCATGATCCCATAGTCAAAGGTTAACTGAGTGATCTGCAAGGAGGCCTGAGCAGCAGCTAAAGAAGAAAAAAAGATGTGTCATCACTTTGAGAATGAACTGCAAGGGAATACAGCACAAGGAAAATCCTCCAGGCATCACATGGGGGAAGGCTCAGCTGCCAGTTTGCCTCTCTGGGGTGTTGTTTCTGAGCAAGCACATCCTTTCCTCTCATGAGGTATTAAACCCAGAATTAAACTCATTAAAAATGATGCATGTTCCGCTTGACTCCAATACACTCCACCAGTATTTCCATCACTTTAGAGGTGACATTCTGGCCACCTTCTGGAGGCACTGACACCACAGTTGGTGTATTGAGAAGTCCCTCCAGTGCAACTCCTGAGCACTCCCAGCATGACAGCTCTGTCTGGAGTGAGATCACCCCCAGTGCTGTCACCCCCTGCCCTGCCATGACATCACACACGTTGACACCATGTGACACCTCTGTCACAGGATGCTTGGCTGTTCCTTTGTCCAAGGGCAGCAGTTGTAACTGTCCCTGCACTGACACACAAACGCAGCTGTTCTCACATGCCAGTCCCGCCGTGTGTCTGTTGTGTAAATGGACAGTTAATTAAATTGCCTTCGTAGAGCTTTGTAAAAAAATCTATTAAACAAAGAATCCCTGGCATAAACAAACAAACCTGGATCACAGTTTCAGCTCTTTGACCTCTTCAGTGGATTTTCTGCTTTTATCAGGAGAGCTTCTTTACATTTTTCCTAATTTGCCACCAATATTTTAGAAGTTGTTTAAAAAAAAAAAAACTAAAAAGAAGGATGAGATTTGGCACTGATTATTGTAAGTCTGTTCAGAATACAGGAGGAAGGTTAATTAGCTTTTCTGACCTGAAGAGTCTAGGAAGGTATCCCTGGTGACTCACTAATTGCTGCTCAATGCATAATAGTGTCTGTGAAGCAGAGTGCAGGGAGCTAGACACTGATAATAATGTTACTGTGATTTAAAATTCTATACCTGCAAGGACATAATGTTGTTTCAGTACAGCATGCACTCCACTGATAGATCTAAATATTCCCCAACTATTCATTTATTTTATTGGCAATTCTGGTCACTAATCTTAATTTGAATTTATACCAAGTACAACGGTGTTTCTCAGATTGAAAGTAAAATGCTATTTAAGGTACCATCAAAGCATATTCTGAAATTGTTTTCTCATGTGTAATAAACATTTCCATTAAGAGCAGTGTAAGTGCTAGGGTTGACTTATTAATTTATACAAAGAATATATCATTTTTATAAATATAAAGAAAGAATTAGTCCATGTTGGGAAACATATCCCTAAACCGTGGGAAACAGAGACATTGTGTTATCTTTAATAATGGTGTGAGACCAACAGAGCATAGGAATTTTAGGAAACACGTGGGATCAAGCTCAGAGTATCAGATGGATGTTCAGTGTACATGTCCTTCCTTTTGATATTTATCAATTGACATGTAATGATGGGGATTTTAACAGGCAGAATAGATGTGCACTATTAGATCAGTTAATCAGTAGCTGTCAGGTCTGTTTTTTAAAAGTCCCCCAGAGAACAAAATACAAATTAGCTCTTCTTAGAAGATCCTGCAGTGTAGGTTTCTGGATAGCCTTTTGTCTAGAACAAATTTTGAAAGTTTGCTTAGGAACTGTAAACATATTTTTCATGTAAGAGTTTTCTCTGGTGCTTGTGTTGCAACCTTCTTTAAATAGGTATTCTACAGATGCTCTTGGATCAGCTCTAAAACACTTCTTCAGCAATCTGTCCTCCCATAACAGATTCCTACAGGAATATGATCATCCAAGCCTCATTTGCATTAAGCCCATTACTCCCAGTTTCCTGGTCAGTGTTGGAAGAGAAAATGTGTCATTCACAGCTTCAGCTGCATAAATTTGGTACATCAACGAGCTCCATCACACCATGGACTTAACTGATAAACCTCTAATATATAACCAATATTTTCCTCTCAGCAGCTGATAGCACAGTTTAAGGGGGAGTTGTAGTTATCCTGGCCCATCTGTCAGTTTATTCTCCACAGTCCTTCCTTGCACCTCTTCTGCCCTGAGCCAGGTGATAAAATTGAGCCAGACCTACAAATTAGGAGGATGCTGACCCAACAGGAAAACCTCAGGTACCCTTGGCAACACCTCCCCATCCAGGCAGTTGGAGATGAAGAACTAGAAAGGAAAGAATGTCAATGCTCAGACATTTCTTCTGCTAAGGCTGGACATTCTATTCCTGTTCTACTGCTGAGCTATAAATGTAATTCAGCAGCAGGACTGGCAGATCTGCCCTGCCCACTGTGTGTTAGAACAGCTCACCAGGGTCTCAGCTGAGAAGAGACCACAGGGTTTGATCCCTTAGAAGCTT